CTTATTATAATTCATTCACTTAATTTGTTAATTAAGGAAGTAAAAACAAAGAAGATCATGTAGAAATGTAGCTTTTCATTGTGTTGTACATAAGACTCCTATTTTATTTTTATCTTTTTGTTTTAGTGTACACTGAGGGCCATGGGAGCATTGCTATTTCAAATTCCTGTGTATGACTGTACATATGGTCTTTGACAATAAAGCTGACTTTGACTTTTGACCTATTGGCAGTTCAAATGAATGCCTTTTTACAGTTTTTCACTGTCTAATACCATAGACTACCATAACTACTTCTATTTTTATTGTTATTGTTATGTAATCTTATGCTAGACAAATACAATAATCAAAACATAAAGTCAAATTTAAAGTATTTTCCATTTTGGGATTTGTTTTGAGATTTTTTTAATTGATATTTGATCTAACAAACCTTTCAAGTCATTGTAATGTAGACAAAATAGTATCAAAGTAAATATTCAATTATGCTGTATTGAACATTCAGCGACACGAGTCACCAGGTAAACAGCACTCAGCTTTCATGGAGAGAGAAAAACATCACCTTTGATGAAACTAGTGTTGGGGTAAGTAACTGCTGGGGAGGTTCTCCTTAAACTACACCTTTTGATTCTCTTTGCTTTTGCACTGCAAACAGAAACTCTGCAGCTGGTAATGAAACGCCACCTTTTGTCATTCACCTTTATTTCTCTCTAATCCTGTTTCCTCCTCCTCTTCATTTCCCCAAGAATGGTAAGTGCTCTTGTTAACATGGCCAGTGTTTCAGTCAAGTTTAACACTATTTAATGGAAGTTGCTGCTGCTGCAGTCAAGTATTTGACCAGCCATCGTACACTGTATTACTTCCTCTTAGTCTGGGAAAGTACCTAAAAACTGCAATCACTAAAAGAGGCCTTAAAAACAGTTTAGGGACTATGATGTTTCAAGTTCTTGCAGTGGAGTTGGAAAAGGGGGTACTACTGCCAGTGGGCTTGTGTCACTAAGAACTTTTGTAGCTATTATTTCTTTTTGATTTGCTATTTAGTGAAATTAAACATTCTTAAAGATGTCAGACAATCAAAGGAGTCATTAACTAGAGTGTGTGCTAGAGGTTCAAAATTGCCATTTGAAACTATGCAAACATTTTACATCTTCAAACAGCAATTATTTTACATGGCCTGTTAATGACTGTGGCTAACTACTATATATTAGCTGTGTGATATGAACAGGCATCGTTCTGTCCTCATTACTGGCAGCAGTGTAGAAATCACTTCAACAATCTCCTTCTTTTCCTCCTTCATTAACTTAACATTCTGCACTCCTCGCAAGGAAAGAAGAAAAATCAAGCATGCACACACATTACAGCTCCCTGTGGTGGTAACTTTATTCTGAACTCCAGCAGTCTGTTGCTCTGTGTGTGTGTGTGTGTGTGTGTGTGTGCGTCTGTGTGTGCATATTAAGGCAAGCACTGATGAGCAGAAATTTAAAATTACTTCTCTAAGGCTTATTTTTACCGTTTTGGAAAAGAAAAAATTATTTAATGATAAATAAATCTAAATAGTGAATAGCTTTGGTTTTTAAAAAGGATTGTGAGCGACTTGCTTACAGGTTTAATTCACTGGACGTTTTATCGGCAAAAACACTACCACTGGTAAATACACGAACACCATTTCTGCGCTGAGTGAAACTGAAGTGGTCTGAATCATGACGGAAGCCCAAAGAGTCAGCCCCCCTTTTTAATGCAGCCCTGACAGTTAATTTTCCTCTCTTGTCTGTAACACAGGCACTGCTTCCGATTCCTGGGCGATCCCTAACTGGCATGTAATATGTTCCAGATGTGCACAATTTTTTAAAAAAAAGCCTAGAAGTGAAAAGTGGAGCCTGTTAGTGTAGGCAGAAACATTTTATCAATTCAATTTGAATTACAGGTGCAATTATAAACGACAGTTAAGGCAGAAGACTGGCTACAACATCTGGATTGCGGTGAAAAAAAAAATCACTGCACGCAAGTTCAGTTGCAGCAGTTGTGTTTCCTGTTTGAGTCAACAGTGGCAGATTGCTGGAAGCTTGCTGACAAATGAGCAGTGATCAGACTAACACAAATAAAACTGCAGGAAATGTGAGTCAATGTGTGGGTGTGGCTTGTAAGTGTAAAGCTCTTTGTTGAATAACACTAGAAATAAATCTGTGCAAATTCCAGGCCAAATGAAACCAGACGCAGGTAAGTTTATATACTATATTCATAAACACCTCTTTCTACATTATTTTTTGAAGGTTTCCTTTCTAATTTTTGGAATCTTCTTTGTCATTCAATAGATCTTAAAAAGGAAGAAAGTTAAATTTATTATATAGCTGCTACAAGCTATAAAGAGCTTCTAGCATCTGTGTTTCTATTTCTTTTTCTCAGACGGATGATATTTTTCTGCCTTTCAAAAAGTTCAAAACAACTATTTTTTGTTTAAAAGTAACATGAACAGGGGCATATTTGTAAATCCGGTTTTAAAGTTTTATTACAGAAAACAGATATCAAAACTGAATACACTGAGTTATAAAATAGGGCTTCATGCAAGTTACATGAGACGTATTTTTAAAAGTACTATGCTCTTCTTGGTTTAACCGGTCACACTGTAGCAAGTCAGCCAGCTTGCTTTTATTGTCTTGTTGGTTATGTTATATCCATGTTTCTAATGTATTTACTAAGTTTTGTCACTTATTAATACATTAGTAAAAACTGAATTAAATAAAGTGTAAAGAACTGAAACCCTACAGATGGACACAAAAGAAAAGTCAATGTTAATCTCATCATATGGAAATAAATCAATACAATTGGCCTGTGGTGGCTGAAAATCCATGTTGGTTGCAAAAACTGCATTTATTACTCTAATGAGGACCTATTATACACAGCTCTCTCTGTTCTTCAGGACATAATAAAAATAATCTACTTCTTTGCAGGTCTGAAAATGAGGTAAATACAACTTCAGAGGAACAGCACAACCCTATCATATTGGGGCAGCTGTAGTTTGGGAAGCAGAGCAAGTTATCTACTAAAGGGAAGGTTGTTGGATTCGATCGTTGCCCGTTCCGGTCTGCATGCCAAAGTACACATAATGCACAGTACCATGTTTGCAGTCACAGCATATCAGCATAAACATCTCACACCAACAAGAACATCAAGAACAGCGGTCGAGGGGTGATGATTTGGGTTTGTGTTGCAGCCAGAGACCTGGGCACCTTGCAGTCATTGAGTTGAGCATGAACTCATCTGTATACCAAAGTCTTCTAGAGTCAAATGTTAGGCCACCTGGCCGACAGCTGAAGCTTGGCCCGAGTTGGCTCATGCCATGGGCCAATAATCCCAAAAACCAGCAAATCCTAACTGGATGGCTGAAAAAGTAATGAATCAAGGTGCTGCAAAGGCCCAGTCCAGACATCAACCCGACTGAAATGCTGTGGTGACACAGAAGATGATTACTTCTAAGTTATTGCTACTAAAAGTGTTTCGAACAAGCTGTTATATCAAGAGATGTACTCAGTTTTTCACACACTACTTCTGCATTTGGGCTTAGTTTTTATTAATTCAATTCAGTTTTATTTATATAGCACCAAAGTGCATCAAAGCACTTTATACTGTATGGTACGGACCCTACAATAATACAGAGAAAATCCAAATAATTGGACAACACATGGAGCAAACACATGGAGAGAGACAGACCAGGGAAGACTAGATCATTTCTATTTCCCCCCCGATATGAAACCTGAAGTGAAAGCAGGTGTACTACTACTTTTTACCATGACTACAGTTTACTTCAGAACTAAGGAGTTGTGATATGTAAACCTATTCTAGTCCAAGAATCCAGGAATAAAAATATGGAGCTAGAAATGAACATAATTAGGTCCCCTTTGACCTTATGATGATGAACATGTATCAGTTTTCAACTTTTCATGTTCAAAAGTCAAATGAAACAGTGTTAAATAAATATAGAGGGAATCTTTCCGGTATTACATACAAGCTCTTTTTATTAATTTTTTAAACTCCAGTTCAGTTTCTTTATCTCAAAGGCATTAATTCACTCTGCTTTGATAGCCAAAAAAGAGCTACTGTTTCCCACACGCCTCTCTCTGCCCAAGTAAGTCCAAACGTGACTCGTAGACTCTCTTTCAGCTCGGTTTCAGTCACCCACCACTGTAAATAGCTTTGGCTGCTTATAGTGAGCATTTAATATTTTATTTTATTTACAATCTGTAGATTTTGTTCCTTGCTGTCGCTACCACTTCAGGAAACATGCATTAAATATTAGCTGTTAGAGATGTGTGTTCTTCCTGAGTGCAATTATGGTCTTGTCTTTTCTGTCATGAGCTGACATTTGCCTCTGGCCATGACAGCTGAGTTTCTTGGCGTGTTCCCCCACAAAGATAAATTTTTTCATTTTGGGACTTTGGAAAGCTCTTATATCCTAACATGGCTCCATAATTAGTGGTTTTAATTAGGGAAGTTCAGTGAAAGGATGAACCAGTCTTTAAGATGTCTGGAATTAAAAGTACCTGGTACATCAACTCAGGACCACCTTCTCAAATGAAAACAGTGTTTATTTTAGAATAAAACCCATTTGCCACTGATGACTTTTTAAAAATGACAACATTAATAGCAGGAATTTAAAGGCTGTAGTAAGAATAAGAATCCTTGACTACAGTAAAGTGGTTTTTTTTTGAAACCATTGAAAGGTTTTATTAAAAGAGTTCAGTTTTCTGTTTCAACCTCTCATATTGCAGTTTTTTTTTTATTACATGTTTTACACTGCAAACCTTTCCTCAAAGTAATAGGGAGTTAGACAAAAGCAGTGAAGGGTGAAAGTTTTTCTTTGGTGAAGGGAAAGCAAAACACTTCAGCAATGAGCTGGAGAAAATGTGCTCAATATTGAACATACAGTGCCATCGCCATCATCACTCCTACATATCCCAAAATTCCGAAATGCACAAGTACATACAGAATCCTTTATCCGTGCCACCCACCTTCGTCCCCGTCGTTGGCGCTGACTGTGAGAATGGCAAAGCCCACATCAGCGTCCTCATCCACATCGACCTCATAGGAGGCCTGTGCAAACTCCGGCTTGTTATCGTTGACGTCGCTAATAAAAATGCGTACGTATGCTGTGTCTGGAAAAAAAAGTAAGACAGAGACACTATTATTAAGATGAGGCTGTTCTTATTCCATCACCTTTTTAAAAGGAAACTATCATTTGCAGTGATGCAGATAAAAAGGTAGACTTTTCTTCATGCATTCACAATATATATAATTGTTGTCTTTCCGGTGCTTTTATATCTGCCATCTGTCTCCACATTTTCACTCTGTGTTACTGGTAAATTCAGCTGGTTCTGCTTCTTTACAGCATGCAACCACAGGCTGAAGCAGAGTAAGAAGCACCCTGGGGGGATCAGTGTAACGCTCAGCAGTTGAGCAACCCAACACACCATATTTCCTTTGATATCTGTATCAAAACGAGCATAATTTGCAATACAGCTTTAAGATGAGATAAAATATTTAAACCAGGGTGGAAGAGTTGGTATACAGTTCGCGGCACAAATAGCAAGCTAATGCAGCCCTTGGAGCTATAACAAAGCAAGTCACAGATGCCAGAGCTTTTCAAGTGTCGGAGTCTGTCGGAGAGAAAAAGGTAAGAAGAGGCGAAACATGAATACAGGAAGTGGAAAAGCAGATGTAGCAGTCATCCCCTTATCCTCCCTCTCATCTGTTAATGATGCCCACTCATCCATGTTTTCACACTTTCGTGCCATGCATGTGTTAAAACTATGAACCCAAATCCACCCCAACACGAGTTGCGAGTAGCAGCTTTGTGCCTCTGAAAACAGTGTTAATCAGAATTATCCTTTCTGACTAATTGACTGTCTGTTGTCTCTAGTTTGCAACATCTCTTGGTGTTGCAAAGCAATTTATGTGTGCTGGGATGATGTTGCTACCCGATATGCTGACCTTGCTTACCTGAAATGCTAAAAGTCTTCACTGGTATAAAAGTGATAAAACTCTTTTACAAAACATAACATTACATAGCATCCCACTTGTTAGCCAATGACAGCTGGACAGACTCCAGACCAGCAGAGACCCTGAATGGAACAAGTGGAAGAAGACGGATGGATGGATGGATGATGTACTACTACACCAAAGCCACAATTTAGAGGGGGAAGCAATATAAGCTCCTTTTTCTATCTTATATAAAGCTTATTCCGAACATCCACCAATCTAATCATTCAAAGCTGCTTTTTGCTCTAAGCCATAGATTGTACTTGTGACTATGGCTGAATTTCTCTGAGGACCAGAGGAAGCACTGTAATTCCTTGTAATTCCAGTTGAGATGAGTTACACTGAGTCCACATTAAGGCTTGTTAATGCTCTTGTCTTTTCAGCAGTCATAAATTGACTTTTTTGACTACTGAATGTATAAAAATGCATATTCTACTTGAGCACTCAAAGAACTTTATACAACTTGCCTCTTTCACCCATTCATTTAAGCTCTTTTCTTCTTTTTTTTTACCTATGCTCTACCTAAGTGCTTTCTATCCAATACGCACACTCTGATGGCTGCATCAGACAGCAAACTGGAGTTCAGTGTCTCACCCAAGAATACTTTGGCATGCAGACTGGAACAGCCAGGGACTGAACTACCAAAGGACAGGATAAGCAATGTATGGGCCTGAAACTCAAAGCTACCTGTTCCCTAAAACATAGCCTGCTTTTAATCTAATTGAGATCTAAAATTATGAAATGAACATCATGCTGTCTTCAGTTGCACTTAAAACTCATAATAAAGGCAATAAAATCATCAGTAAAATGTTTACTGAGGTCAGAGATCAAGTTAGCTAAAGGCACTTCCACACTTTTCTAGATCCTGACTATAAGACCTTTTTCCTTCCCAAAATATGATTGTACAAGAGCCTACACTATTTATTTATTTATTTATTCGGGACCAAATACTTTTCTCAAGTCTATATTTTCTGTGAGAATGAACCTTTATCCGTTAAATAATGTCCAATATGATCACTAATGTGACACTTTTCATTTAAACCAGGTGTGTCCAACTCCAGGCCTCGAGGGCCGGTGTCCTGCAGGTTTTAGATATCACCCTGGGTCAACACACCTGAAGCAAATGATTAGTTTCAGGCCTCTGGAGAACTTCAAGACATGTTGAGAAGGTAATTTAGCCATTTATAATTTTGTGTTGGATTAAGGACACATCTAAAACCTGCAGGACACCGGCCCTCAAGGCCTGGAGTGGGACACCCCTGGTTTAAACCATCTTTGCTACTGAGAAATGTATCTTTCATTTTGCATATGTCTATCCAAATAAAAATCTGCCTTGCTGGCAGTTACAAGTAAAGCGTTACTGTAATCCAAAGCGTGGATGTACTTACATTAATTTAAGTTTTAGACCATAAAAAGTGACCAAAACATTAGCATCCGCTGTACAGCCTGCATGGGAAGAAAACTTCTTTCTACAGTGAAAATTTAAACTTCAAATCCGAGCAAGTACAGAGCACGCTGCCACGGGAATGTGAAATTCACAGAGAAACCCCCGGATCCCCCCACTGACAGACCGCTGCTGCACTCGGCAAAGCTCCACCTGCCCCACTCCTGCTAAACAAGTGAAAATAAATTTAAGAGCAACAGGACTTAGTGCCGCTGAGTCTTTGATTTTATTTATTTTTTGCTGTGTTTTACTTGCATCTATTTGAAAGAGTGTAAACACGAAACATTATTTTATTTTATATGCTGAAATATGCAGAAAATAGGATTAAAAGTTATAGAATTTCTTCAAGTCAAAGACTGTTGCATATGATGCAATTTTTGCTTAATGCAATGTGAAAAAAATAAAAGATTAAAACTCATAAAACAATTTCTAAAAAGAGGCTTTCCATTTGATTCAATTTTATATGATGAAAAAATAGAATTGAGCTGAAAGGTCTGTTGCTTTATTACGCATTCAGGTTGTGTATAATGATTTTAAAAAGTAACTAAGTAACTAATTGCTTTTGAAAATAAGTAATCAGTAAAGTAACAGGATTACTTTTTTAGAGAAAAAGTAAGTAGACTAACACTCATGGCGCCTCCAGAATTTTGATGGCGAGAAGTGCTTCCACTGTCAGTCGCATGTTTTTTTTCCCAGAAGAAAATCATGTGGAACCAGAGCTCCTCCCACTTTAAGTCTCTGTTACATTCACTTGTGGGTGTTTGCATCAGTGATAAGTATCTGTTAATTTGCCTGTCATCCATCCTCCTTCATGCCACCTCATTTATTATTAATATGACAGAAACAAATAAATAACTCTGGCAGCTTTCCTGCCGCCTCTCCTCTTCTTAATATTTAACTTCTGTTTACGTTGCCACAAATGTCAGTGAGTCAGACCGAGAGAGAGGGTCTGTTAATAATCTATGATCATATTTATTAAAAATACATCCTGGTGTGTTTTTGCTGTTTTTCAACACCTCTCTCCATCCACCCATCTGTCTCAACATCTGTTCGTTTCTTCGCGTCTATATTCAGCCAGCGCATGTATGCATTTCATCTGGCAGCAAATGAGAGAGAAATAGAGAGATGGAGGGAGACGGGGTGCAAGAGAGAAAGATGGAAAGAGAAAGGTGGCCTTTGGTCCTTTCGAAGAGAGAGATGAGCAGATGTGGGAAAGCGACAGAAAGGAAAACAGAGATTACTGCTGCCTTCAATGAAGATTTGGAGCTTCAGACTGAAGAGTACGGAGCAGCTATCTGCAGCCGTCTCCTCCTCTGTGCTCGCTCTATTTTGCAGTCACTATATGAGGAGCCACCATCGCTACACAAACGCAAAGTAGATTACGACTCATATCCATTACATCGATAGGTTTGCATTTCTACAATCTGAGCTCACGCAGGCTATATAAAAGTCATTAGCATAAATAGGTTCTGACTAAACGCTTTTCCTGGTGTAATGTTGTTTCACCTGCTCTTCATTCAGTGCAACAAACATTTCTTAGCAGTATTACAGTCAATGCTAACAGTACAGGTGGGACTAAACAGACCCCGAATGATGTGATATTGTCACTTCAGTACAATATTATTGTGATTCTTAACATTTTGCAATATGTTGAGTATTGCAATACCATAGATTGCGATTGATCACCTCTTTTCAACTGCAAATTATGTCCTCAAAGATAAACTTTGTTAATATCCATTTTATCCAATAAAAAAAAATGCACATTTTCTTTCTCCAAAATGAAATTGTCACACATACTAACAATTTAACTAAAACCTGCAAAATATTACATTCAAATGATTTTCTCCGTTGTGCATATCATAACTAGACTAGTGGACAGCTGAAGGAATTAAACCTAGGTCCTACCTGGCAGCTTTATATAATTGTTGTTATTAAGAGTCAGGCTCAGTACTGAAGAAACTTAGCAAAAACACAACAGGAATCACAACTTAGTTATAGATCCAGTTACAAGATGTTCTGTGTAGTGTTGGTCTTATTTACCAGAGTTGGGCTGCCCATGCTTGCCGGGCCGCGCTGACTCCCATCCATCTACAGACTGAACCTCCAACAGGTACGAGCTTTTGGTCTCACGGTCAAATACGGCCTGAGTGTAGATGAACCCCAGCTCTGGGTCGATACGGAAATACTGATGGTCCCCACTGCGATCCTCCAGCAGGGAGTAAGAGATCTGGGAGGTGGGGGCAGACACAATTATACAGAAGGCCAGATGCTAAAACTGAGTTAATTAGTGCAAATTTGCACAGCAAGGAAGAAGACCTCTTGAATAATGAAAAGCAGAATGAAAATAATACAGAGCAGAAATTCAAAAACATTCATTTCAACCAAGGATGCATCATTACTCTTTACAATGATTTGTGTGTAAACGTGTGGATTTGTTCTCACCTTGCCATTGGGGCCCAAATCCAGGTCATTAGCTGAAACCTGGAAAACCAAAGCTCCCGACTCTGCTCCTTCAGTGACCGAGGCCTCATAGATGGATGAAGTAAAAAAAGGGACGTTGTCATTTACATCTGGAGAGGGAAGAAATACAGATAGTGCTCAGAGTTAAATAAAAATGCTTCTCCATTTGAGATCTACTGGATTTAACAGAAATGTCACAGATAAGCGATGGGCTTTCTGAAGGGGACAAGCTAGTCTTACTTTTCACACTGATTATCACTGCTGCTTCAGAGGAAGAAAGAAGGTGTAACCAGGGCTGCACATAAGTGTTCCACAGGTGCGCGTTCGCTGTCAAAATAAAAGACGCGCACCAGATAAGAAGTTGCAACACGCATTTGCGTACGTAAGATTTTCTGGAGGAGGACGGACATTTGCTCAGAACTCTTAAAGATGTCGAAGAAGCAAGCTCTGTAAGCAATTACTTTGGTGTTCCCCCACCGCCAAAGAAACGTCAGAAGGAGTTCAAACCGCAAAAGAAGCGCATATTCTCTGAATTTCCGGGAATATGCTCTTCTTTTGCGGTGGAGGAACACCAAAGTAATTGCTTACGGAGCTTGCTTCTTCGACATCTTTAAGAGTTCTGAGCAAATGTCCGTCCTCCTCCAGAAAATCTTATGTACGCAAATGCGCGTTGCAACGTCTTATCTGGTGCTCGTCTTTTATTTTGACAGCGAACGCGCACTTGCGGACCACTTATGTGCAGCCCTGGGTATAACAATATCTATATATAGCATAAAAGTCACAGAAGTTTAAAACAAAACAAAAAAATCTTGGTTCAAACAAGATGAACTGCTACAGCAGCACTCAGTGTAAGATAAACTATGTTTATTATGTACAGCAAGTCATGCAAAGCTACTTGAGTCTAAAAAAAGGAAATGTAGAGCTGGAAATGAGCACAACAGACCTCTGACATCCTCACCTGCTTACAATAACTTAAGCTCCTTTTTCTCCTTCAAAAACAACTAAAGAAACAACAGTAATTTTATTCTAATTATATTTATTCAACTGGTGATTCACTGGCAAAAATACTTTTCGTTTCATGTCTGTGAAGGTTCTCAGTCATCCAGGTCATCGTAGTCAAAGGAGCTTGCAAAGAAAAGCGTCTGGACTTCTTTAAGTTGCTTAAATACGTTTCACCTCTCATCCGAGAAGCTTCTGCAGTTCTAAGGTCAAATGGTGGAGAGTCCCAGATTTAAACCTAGTGGGAGCATCCCCCCCACAGAGGGACAAAAGGACCCCCTGATGATCCTCCTGATCCCGCCTGAGCCAAGGTGTGAAACTGGGCGTGGGTCCCAATCAGCCAGAGTTTCGGGTGCGCTCATTGTGAAACCTGGCCCCACCTTATCATGCGAATTCCTGAGGTCAGATGGCCCAGGGTGTGAGTGGGCGTTAAGGCGTCTGGGGAGGGATCTCAAAACTGGATTATAGATGGCAGAGAGTTGGTGTCGTAAACCCCCGCCTCTGTTCAAAGATGGTCGCTCACAGTGGACATAGATGGCTTCTTTTACTACTTTTCGTTTCCTACTTTCCACATGTTAGCGTTTGACTGCAGTTTGGCAGCAGTGTTTCTGGGCAGCACCAAATGCACAGAGCATATTCTTCCTCTCCTGGTTGCTTTACATTTATTTGTACAATTAAGATCTTTTAAACCTACACTTATATGCTTCTTTTTTTAATAAAACAAAAAACCCCAGATGTTCAGAAATACTCTATAAATTTTGATCACTTGTAAATGGAATTTGTGTTAGAACCACTTTAGCTCCAGCACAATAAAGCAGCCTTCGTGTCAGTGTCAGGTCACATGGAGCCACATGCAACAAACTTTCAAACAATCTGTTTGCAATTAGAACTTCATTTTATTTTGCTCTGTAATTAGCTTGATTTTTTTCCACAATTCGCATTGCTATTAACAGGCTGCTGCAAAGCACTGCTGCTGTAGACAAAAGTGAAGAGAAAAAGGTCACTTTGTTTTTAAACATCTGTAAAAAGAAATAAATAAAATAAAACACATTTTAATCATTGTGACAAATCTAAAATAAGTGCATCTGTGATAACTTCTATCAGAGTATTAGAAACCCCTGTGCAGTGCTGTTTGGTTTGTTACCTGAAGCATCTCACCAAAGTGGCTCTTTTCCACTTTATAATGCAAACATAATATAAAGTCATGAAAACTGAAAAAACCCAAAAACCAGTCAGATGAGGATTTGGTTTGACTGCCCTTTGGTGCCAAGTGTTTTCTTACAAAGGACCATCTGGAAAATGGAAAAGGGCAAGCAATATCTGACAGGTGACTAGATGAAGACTAACTTCAACCTACTGGATCAATGAAACACAAAACACAGAAAGCACTGAAAAGGAAAAACAAGCTGCAGTCTGAGGGGCTTTGAAAGTAAGCAAATTACGAGTCAAGTATGCCAATTTACCCAAACCATCTGTGGTTTCTCTGTAAGCTCACTGTAAGCTCACAGCTTAAAGACTGGCAAATCTCGCATGATTATGATGCCATAAAATCTTCTAAAAAAACAAAAAATGAAACAACTGGTTTGCAAAGTAACTGCTTTCAACCAATTCTCATCATCATAAGGGATGAGTATCAGCACAGTGGGACATAAAGTGGCGAAATCATGCTAGTCTTTATATTTACTGTAACAGCAACCAATTATGTCTTTGCACAGTTTTCGATATCGCAACTATTTTTCCCCAGTTTGGGACAAAATGAGGATCAAAGCGTGCATTAGAGCGCTCAATACTGGACAAAAAAACTGGGCTTTTTTTTCACATCACTTACCTTGAACCATAACAAAAAGAAAGACAGAAAGTTATAAGCCAAAAGTTGAAACGCAGGCAGTACCAAGAACCAGTGAGGAGGACGAGAGCTTACGTTTTCCTCAACAGCGGAAGCCAGATTTTAACACAGCTGATTTAAGACCAAAAGCATTACAGAAATGACTTGAACAGAGCCACGCATTAAATCTAATGCTGCTTCATATACCTTTTTTCTTTCTCCTTTCTTCTCAGCAAATGTCTTAATCTATGAATTAAAAATGGGGCCTTAAATCCATTAGACCTCCCTCACTTCCTCAGACTGACTGCCTCTGGAGAAGTCGAAGAGCTTTCTTATTAAGACAGATAAGGGGAAGGAGGGGTGAGGAAAGTCGGGAAAAAGAAAGAGAGGGTCTGTGAGAATTAATTATTTCTTACTGGATTAAGACCAGTTCGAAATGGAGTATGTGTATGTGTGCATATGTGTGTGTGTGTGTTCATGCATGCATGTTACAAGGGAATTCATAGCTCGTGTCTGGTCAGCAGGGCATTACTATTAACTGCAACAGACCAAACTAATAATGGTAGAATAAAAATGATAGAGAAGAGTGACCTTTCATTGGAAAATGTGAGCTTTGAGTGACAGGGTGAGATCTGCAGTGGCAGCGAGGCACTGGGGTTAAGCATATATATGTATATATCTATGCTCACTCCCAAAAGCTGTCAAATTCTTCAAAATAATTTGGATTTGTGTAGTTTTAAACAACTCTACTGGAAAATTGGAGCTCAGTTGGCAGACTTCGGCTGCCCTGCCATCTCTATTCAGTCTTTATTTTCTTCTGTGGCCTCAATTTAGAAAGGACCAGTACAACAACAGATCAATGCTGAATAACAAGACAACAATAATAATCTGAACTGAACTTTTCTACTGTACTGAGTCAAAGCATACCACAGAAGGTGAGAATGCTCAAAAGAAAACATGTTTTATCAGCAACATGCATGTAGAGCTGCAACTAACTGTTCACTATCAAATACACAACCTGTTTCCGCCTCAGTTTAGTTTGTGCGACTGGTATTGTAACACATTAACTAAACATCAGAGTCATACAGCGACACCGCATTCTTCACTTTTTTAGTGTTAAAAGAGGCTGCTGGGTTTAACAGAAACATTATGGCTCTGGTAAATTATAAAAAAGGTCACTTTGACAGCAAGTAAAACAATAAAAAACTCTTATTTAACCAACAAATGACCAAACCATCACCTTCATGTTGTTCTGTGCTGACTCTATAGCCACAGAGTGTGGGCAAAGTGGTCATGAACTCATTTTTAAGTGCAGTACTAGGTGTGTGCTGCTCATATTGCTTTATGTGCCACCGCTGGCTTTCTGCAAGCTGTTTATGTGTGTTTGCTACTCTCTCCCCTCCCTCTGCTGCATTTTTTCATAACACATTTGTTCCTATGGACATATTTATTATTTATACATATTATTTCTGGCTGCTGTTACAACCAAATCTCCCCTTGTGGGACAATTAAAGTATTATTCTATTCTATTCTATTTTTCTTTTTTTTACTGTCAGATAACAATTGACAATGAAATGTTGACGTTAACGAGGTCGCTGCCCTGCACCGCTCAAATTTGGATTTTTGGAAGTTCAATGCTGACTGACAAAATCTACATTGACATAATTTTAAAAACAAAGACTGTGCTGAGAATCTATCTGTATTTACAAGTTATCAAGTTGTCTCATTGCACACTGTACTGTGAGGAGTATAGTATACCATTACCTAACTGTGTGATATTTAAATGGCATCATGCGCGATCTTAAATTCAACTTAAGTTATTTTATTGCAAACAAATGACTGTGTAACTAATAACTGATGAAATTACTAGTAATGTTATCAATTGTGTTGATGGTAAGTTAGAAAAGAAGATACTTTTGGAGTTATTTGGACTTATTTCCCAAAGATGCATAATGACGCTTATTATCAAGTATTTTCTTGATTTTATTTTTCTGTATCTTGAAAACTCGAGAAATTAATTCTGTTTGGAGCTTATTTTACGCAGCCTGACCAAAAAAAACGACTCGACTGGCATTTTTTTGTTTTGTCACAGAACAGAAATTCATTCCTTTGCTGAACTTCCTCTCGCTAAATTCTTACCTGCTTCTGATTTAATGCATCTGTGTGACATTGTCCTTGTACCTTTAATCATACCATGTTTTAACAACATTGTTTTGCTTATGTTTACTGTTCACTTAACGGGCATTTATTAAAGGCATCTATTGATAAAACAGTAAGTTTTAATAAATAAAATGTGACACATGGAAGGCTAAATTATTCCACAGGGCGACTGTTGTGACAATTTCCATGAGATATCAAATGAAACATGTTACATTTGGAGATTCTAAATTACAAAAAGAAAGCGTGAATAAAAGAGGGCTTACCAGTGACATTGACATAGACTGTCGTGAAGGCAGCCAGTGGTACAGCAGCAACATTCTGAGCTCGAACCCTCAGCATGAAGTTCTTGGTGGTCTCATAGTCCAGGGGCTCTGCCACCAGGATAGATGCCGAACCATCCTCTCGGTTGGGGGTCAAGTAAAAGCGCACTGGCATGTTGGTCTCTGGGACCATGCCATCCTCCAAATTATAAGTTACTCTGGGATCTCCAAGAGGTGAAGTGGCTTTGATGGTCTTTTTGGAACAAAGATAAGAAAAGAGGGAAACAATAAAGGCAAAATATCAAAACAATGGGATTCCTCACTTTTTTGTCTGCATGACACCACCACAGAGGGGCTGTCACATAAATATTAAAATCTCCACAGAAGGAATTTTAGTGTAGCCTTCATCCATGTCTGGGAAGAAGTCTTTGAAATGGTCAAAGTCCACTAGTGGTTCCTCAGAAAACTCAATAAACTGCACAATAAATGATTTAATGAACTTCTTTTTTTCTCCTTGTTCCCATTAGATAAAGTGTCACTATAAATGAGTTACTCTGACTCCCTGGAAGTTGTCTTACCAAATAAACGACTGAATTCACATTTAATACCCACAACAAGGTTTGGGTTTATTTGCCTCCACGTGTCGTTCTCATTTTCTCATATTTGGAAGTCACCCATAACGATTCTACCTGAGAGATGACCAACAGCACAGAAATCCAGAAAACCAACAGCAATTTGCATTTGGCAAATTTTTTACATGTTTCCAATTATGAACTCTGAGAGCTGGAAAAATGCTAAATTCCAGCAGTGACCCTCAGGACAGGAAGGGAAGTGTAAAGAGCTACTGCTGAGCTCCAATTGAAGGGTGCATTACAAATAGGGGGAAAACGATCTGCCCAAATGGGAAAAAAGCCTTTTACAGCCCATAATAATGAACACTAAAATAATAGAAAGTCTCAAACTGTTACACTAGACAACAACCCGCTGAAATGTTGTGGGATGAAAGGGAAACACTCTGCTCTTCATTCTGCTTTCTCCATAAACTAATTAAGGAGAAACTATTCAAAGCTGATGCCACATACACCCCAATTAAAATCAAAAATGCCATTTCGGGCACGATGCGGCTTGCCTATGGGTGACCTAGCTGTATCCATTCAACCTGCAGAGCATGGCAGCTACAATAATGAGACACCCTGCGAGGCATGCGGAACTAGCAAACATGTCTGACTACTATATGCCCCGATTTAGGACATAAAAACTCAAAATGTCCATGGCAGAGATTTAACAACCCACCGAGAGTCATTTTATCTTTGCTCAACGGTCAAATCAACACTGATCTGCCATCTCAATTTATACTCCATACCGCAGGGACCGCGCTCTGTGTGCTTCCCTTTATCAGCATCTCGAACAAACACAATTAAACACACACAGTGCCGTATAAAGTATTCTCCCATGTCTTTTTATTTCAACCCTTTGAGTTTGAATATTCATCATAAACTTTAATGGATTAAACTGCTTCCAAGAGACTCTTAGAAAATACTGTTAATGGCATGAAAAGCCATGTCCATAAATAACAAAGTGCTGTTGACAGGATACATCTGAACCACACAAGCAATGAATCAACAGATTTAAGGGTCTTTTGAATGTCTGCATTTTTCTGTAGCTGCGGTTCCTAAACCTGTAGCTGCACTGGCATCCCACACACTTCCTACACAGTTACACTCTTTTGTTGTTGCTCGTCATTAAGACCGACTGAATGCCTTAAAAACACATCAAAGCTGTAAAAAGATTGTGAGGGAAGACCGACACAAAACGGGCCTCTGCTCTTCTCTTCAGACACGTTTAGGAAGGGATAACATCAGGATTAACATGCAACAAACATCTTTGGTCAGCAATAATCCACAAACTTTGCATAATATGTTTTTAAGCTCGATGCCACGATGCCAAACAATGGGTTTTTTTTTATGTTGTTTCATAGTCTGTACAATCTTTAATCTTTATTTTTACTAAAACTGGGCCTTTTTTTCTCCAGTTTATACTTGTGCATAAAAGCAGTATTTCCACATAACTCCTTTATTATTGAAGACCAAAGTAAAAAGCCCGCTGAGAAAATCCCCACTAAAACTTTTTGAAAAAATTGTTACCATGAAAAATGGATTAGAGTGTAGCAGGGCTTTGTGTACAGAAAGAATCTGAAAACACAAGCATTATACATGTGATAATTGCCCCCGAAAAACGAGCAGGAACAGCCCGACTGCCAATTAGACACTAGATGAGTTTAAAACAAAAAAAGACAAAAAACAAAAATGTTTAATTTTAAAATCAAAGTAAGTACTCCTTCAAACAAAGAAAAATAAAATTATTAACATATAAATATGGATTCATGGCATGTCAAGTGCATCTTTTACATACATGTACATATCCCACTTCACATGTACTTGACATAAACACAACACAATTCATATATATAAAAACATACTGTGTAAGTACTGATCTAATCTATTTGTGTGCTCTGGAGGAAGCCTGACTCCTCCGTTCTGCATGTGCAAGTCTCCTTGGGCATCCATCAGAATGAGCGTGTGTGTGTCTGTGTGTGTTTAGAGGAACAGAATAAAGCTCAGTATGAATACATGTGTGATAAAGCGAGTAGTAGAAAGTGCTTTTATTATTCAGTAAGAGTAGAAAACTATAAAACTATATAAAAGCCAGTCCATTACTTTTTAGTGATTAGATTACACAGTATCAACTAATTTATTTTGCATATTGTATGTCTGGTTATAGCTTCATTCATTAAATCTCTCTCAAGTTTAATGCTGCAACTGTTTATTCTGGTGCATTCGTTCACCACAAATAAAGACAACCATCTCTTTAACATTTTTTTTTTCATTCAAGTTGTCTTTTGTAGGAAATGCATGACACAGCTACACACATTCATATCTTAAGAAATATGGGGCATTTTATAGTGGTAATGAGGGAGGGGCAAAGACTACATTCCCCATTCAGCTTTATCCACACTGGTTGAAGAGCAGAGCACACTTCTTCAAGCTTAAGGCCGATTTATCTGTTGTGCTGTACCAGAGACTAGAAAGAGAGATCATGTTTCTCCAATATTAGCTTGTCTTCACCTCTTCATCTTTACCTTACATATAGAGAGCCCCAAAGCAACTGGTGAGAATTGCTAATGTATAAATAAATTTGCACTGAAGTGAATTCAAACCCATATTTTTCTGTGCAACCCCGGAGCAACATACCACGATGGGTGTGTCCCGGACGGTGTTTTCTGGTATGACTACGTTGTAGTTGTCTTTTTCCCACTGTGGAGGCTGGTTCTTCACATTGGTGATGGTAACAGCCAGCTCCACTGAACTGCTCCTGTTTCCTCCATCTGTAGCCACAATGTCTCTGGTAATGTAGGTCCTCTGTGGAAAGAAGTCCACACAGGCAAAAAGATGAGAAGGGGGAGAGAAAGTCACAAGATGTTGTATTCAGTGGGACCGAGGGGTGCGTAATCGTGGCTTCCTTACAGACGGAAGAACAATGTGAAACTAGATCAAACTGATTTCGGCAACCAATCCATTTTCCACACTTCAGTGCAGGATGAAATCGACGGTAAGCTGCATTCGGGTAAACATACTTAAAGATAAGTGTATTGATTGAAGGGCATGGCTCATTGTCGAGCAACGGAGGGGAATGGAGTTTTGCAACCCTTACAAGAGCAATTAGCTTTATCCACTGCAATCAGAGGAAATGATCTGTTCTGGCAAGTAAAGAGAAAAAACGTAACAATACTCTGTAACCCCAGTGTGAATGAGCTGTCATTATTTGGGGAAGTTTTGTCCAGAGCCTCGTGGTTTATGAACCAAGTTGTGGATGTTATGGGCAAGTTGTAATTTCATAATTCTGAGTGAAATAAAAGCTTTTCCAATAGCAATATTTATTGCAGTTACAAAAAAAGCACTTTTTATTTCAATCTTTGCTCTCAGCAATTAAGACACTGAGGCTGTCATGCTGGCAAATGATGAAGAAGTAAGCATGTAGGCATTGCCTGGATCTGTTCATTTGTACTCATTAGTAGGAAAAGAAGTTTATATTTTCAAACAGGGCCATGTTCTGGCAAACAATCCAGTGAAACCAAAAATACTGGCTTGGTTCCAGAGGTCAGTATAAGATGCAAGGTGCAGAGGTTACAAACATTCATTCGTCTTGGCACTGGAAGATGGTTCACCGCTGATTTTGGGGCTTTTATCACTACAGCACTCATCTGAGGTGCAGACTTGTTTTGCACAGGCTACGTGGCAATTTCCTCTATTGCTTGTTCATGTTCCCACCAAGATTGTTTTTCTTGTTGGCAGTGAAGCAGGCAGAAGCAGTGAAGTGAGAGAAATAACAGAAATTCTCCTGCAGGCAAAGAAAAAGGCCTTAGTGAAGACATTATCACATTCGCGGGCTGCGGTCTGCTGCTGGCCACAGGACTTCTGCCCCCTCACGGTCAACAAATAAAGGGCTGGAATGCAAATGTACTTGGATACTGGGAGAAGTAGCTTAGTTTAGTTAAAATCTGAAGTTCCCTGCTGCCTTTTTTATAGTTCTCCAGTAGAATTATTAAAGGAAGTCTCACAATTTCAGAGTTTTTCTATCATTTAGAATAGCTTGAGCTTGAAGCTCCAAGGAATCCTGCAAGATAAGTAGCTGCACAGGTTATTCATGTGTTTGTTATGCATCTGGAATCTCATTATGGACTTCCATAGGAACGGAAAACTGTACGAGTTAAGCCTTTTAAAAAAGAGCAAATGGTATCCAGAACATAGCTAAAGTGTACCTGCGAGATGGGTTGGTTAACGTACACCCAGCCTGTCAGTGGGTTGACCCTTAGGTACTCTGGCTGCTCATTAGACATGGAGTATGTGATGGCTGCATTGGTCCCAAAGTCATCGTCGTGAGCCGCCACCCGTAAGAAACTAGTTCCAATCATAGTATCCTCACGGAGGAAGTCTGTAGGAGAAGAATAAGAATAAGAGTGCTTTGCAATTCAGTGGCTCAAGAGACCTTAATTTGTAGTCTTTGATATTGCATCCATCAGCACAGAGGCAAGAGAGAAACTCGAACTTGAAACAATAAAAAAACAAAAAAACAATAAAAACTGTAGACAAACTTTAGTAAACAAAACTAATTAAGAAAGGAATTCAGCAATTTGACAACAAATATGAAGCTTAAACAACCAACAACAGAAAGCAGAAAACAAAGACAAAAGAAATTCCCCAGTGACATGAAAAACTGAATACATGAGCAATTAGTAAAGAGCTCCAATTCTGTAATACTAAAAATTCTGCCATCATAGGAATACTAACACCAACACTGTTAGCTCATTAGCGTCAGTTTTTCTTGTCAAAATAGGGAGAATGTTTGTTTGTTTTTTAAATCTTGTTTTTAATCTATATGCATGTGCTTTCATTCTGCGATGCAGCAGGTCGAGCTAATATCTACTGACACTCGTATCTGAGGTTCTCAAACTTGGGACTGTTGTCATTCTGGTCCAGAATGAGAATGTTCAGCTGACAAATGCCAATCAGCGGGTCAGCCGCCTGGTCAGTGGCAGTCACTGTCACCGCGTACTCCCTTTGCCGTTCGCGGTCAAATTTCCTGGCCGTCACAATTACTCCTAGAAAGACAGAGATAACAAGGTCGATCAGATAGCTGAATCATAGCAAACACTACTTGGTCTCATGTCCCCCAGAGTACTTGTAATTTAACGCTAAAATGATTGCCTCTGCCTGCCTCGAAGCTAAACTTTAAACACAGTAGGGAAGATGAGAGGCACATTATGAAAGAAAATGAGACTTTTTCAAGAGTAGTTATTGTCAAGTCCAAAGAGAATTGTCTTTATTATTTATTTTAGAAATAATTTTTAGCAATGTAATTTACAATATCTCATGCTCTACTGTTGCTACTGAATAAAAAGCTCCATAATATATAAACATATTAATGCATGATAACTTTTAGCTCAACTACAGGTAAAGCTGCATAACAATTCAGTCCAATCTGCAGATACTATTTTTTATATATAATGAATCAAGCTGAAACGTGCCTGAAATAAGCTTAATAATCAAAAACCCAAAGTGGCTCATGTCCAGCACTTTTCCCATTTATTCCCTGCACAATATCGACCACAGACTGACAGACTGAAAGGAACATGTTGTAAAATATTATCCACGTGGGATAAAAGCTTATGTGTTGTTCTGTATGTGTATGTGTGTGCACACGAGTGCTTGTATGTTTCCGTACCGGTTTCTGGGTGTATACTAAATGCAGGCACAGTAGAGTCTTTGTGCATGAAGCCATATGTGACCCTGCCATTGGAGCCTTCGTCAGCATCCACAGCATGAACCTGCAGAACAAACGTCCCCGCTGGCTGGTTCTCCAGGACGGATGTGCTCTCACGGTACTGCTGACACTGAGAATGAGTGAGGCAGGGAGGACAGGTGGGAGGAAGAGAAGACCACAGGAGTGAAAGTGTGAAGAAACTTAGATCAATACGCCATTCCATCCAAACAGTCAGCAAAGGTGTGTGGGAAGTTAAATGTTGAAAGGACAGATTTAAAATTACTACAGTAGTCTTTTACTGGGGGACAAAAAGTGTAATGTTGAAAATAACCACAGGAAAGAAAGTGGGAAGCCTGTGCCCAGCAAGTTTTCTTTTTCTTTAAAAAATATCAGCTTTTGCTTAACCTGTTTAAAGCGGAAGTGGTTGATACCGGGGTGGTGGAACAAATCTCAGATGCCATTAGGCAAACGCTCTCAAAAGCAGTTTAGCAATGTGTTGGTTGTTGCTTTTGTGTTTTGAAAAAGGTGATTTTTTTGGTGTACAGTGTGCATGTTTACTGCTAAGAGCCTTCAGCAGCGTTCAAGGAAACAGAAAACACAAAAAACGTCCATATACGGAGAACCCAGCACTCCCAACATGTGTGGGTCACGCCCTGGAAGCCTCGTAGTGACCAACGCCAGGAGTGCCCTAGATATCCTACGGTCTATCAAAACACTGACCCTACAATGTGAATTAAAAAACAACAACAACAAATGTGTTTTAAATGCTCTGTAGGCCTGACAGTCTGACCCTTGACAACACATTCATGGTGGGGTGAAAAAACAAAACAAAAAAACACCCAGTGGGTTCTGGGGAAGAAATGCCATCATGCTGCTAATCTGAAATGGAATTCTTTGGGCTTGGACATGGGACTCATGCACTAAAGACTTTCAGGGAACAAGAAATCATAAGATGTCTGTGTAGGTTCTCAGTTATCCATCATGGCAGTCTAAGTCGCTTTCTTTCTAAGCTCTTTAGACTAAGTTACAATAAAGGTTTACATACACTGGGGAGGAACGTCACGGCTATTTGGGACTTATGGAGATTTCTTTGAACTTTTCTTTTTCCGGGGTGAAATAATTGTTCAGCATGCATCTTAAATTACTTTAAGACAACAAAAATTGGATGTACAGTACTTACGTATAAAATGGGACAAAAGTATACATAAAGGCTCAAATATGTACATACACCAACACTAATCTTTGGTTACATGGCCTTTAGCAAGACAGGCCTCAACCACACACTTTTTGTAGCTACAAGCAAGCTATTGAGATAATTCTGCCTGGATATTTGACCCCTCTTCTTGGTAGAATATGTACAGGCATTTGGTTGTCCATGTGGGTCGCTGCAAACTTGGTGAAACCTTCCAGCAGTTACCATGGCAGGCTTGAGCCTTAGTGGCTTCTGGGTTGTTCCTGAACATCCTAACCATTTTCCTTTCATCTGAGGCTGGCAGTTATGGTTTTCGTCCATATATTGGCAAAGTAGACACATCCCAAAAATTTGTACTGTTGAACAGTTGTTTGAGATTATGATCTTGGAATCCGCAGTTGTTTAGAAATGACTCAAAGAAACCTTCCCGACATGTATAAATCTACAGTTCCTAATCTTCACTGAGTTCCATGGACTTTCCCATTGTTGAAAATCCCCAATAAATTCCCAAATCCCCAAAACTTGTGCAACTCGTTAAAGATGTATGCTATAAAATCATTCCACCTTGGAAAAAGAAGAGTTCAAAGAGATTAAAATTAGCCACACATTACCATGACATTGATGCCCACGATGAATGGATGTAAACTTCTGACAACAGATGTATGAGTCATAATATGAAAGACAGGTCAGTTTGATACCAAAGTTAATGTTTCCGTGCAAGCTTGAGATCAATGAACAGAAACTGAAAAGACACATGTGTAAGTCCAAATAGGACTTCAGGATCGATGCAAACGTAGCAGAAATTCCGAGGGTGGTGTATGGTTTCAAAAGACTTTAGACCTTTAAGAACAAAGAGGGAATTTTAATAAGGCTTTCTTTTGTTACAGTAACAGAACTTTTTGATTGCACATCATCTGTGTGCCTGTGTGTTTGGAGTATCTTTTGAAAGAGAGATGAACTGAACTGGATCAAAGATGGACATAAAAATATTCCGAACATTTACTTTCAATGTAGACAAGCTCCAACATTATATTTCTAAAGATTCTATTATAATTGCTGTTGGATTCTCTGCACAGCACACTTCTCTTTTCCCAAGGTACAACTTATAGATTCCCTGTCACCTTGATGTTTTGCACTGAGATCAAGGTAATGTGATTAGGAAAAAGAGGTAGGAGGTAATTTTTTGGACTATTCAACCATATGTCGTGACAAACAGAGATCTGAAAATAAAATAGCAGGCAACTAAACAGAAACAGTTATGACACCCATGTCGGAGCTATTACAGCAATAATTCCCTGCAGATAAAACTGCCAAGAGGAACAGCAGAAGAGTTTGTGCATAACATTTATGGCACTGTGTTCTTTTTTCCTCTCAAAATGCTTTTAGAGACATGTCTTTTTGCTATAAAATGTGCAGGATCTGCTAAATATGAAAGAAAAACAGAGAATACACTTAAATTATGAATCATTTGCTGTCCTCGGTTTTAAGTGTTGGAGGATCTGGAGTTTCCCGAGGGAAGGGTGATATACTGTATATACCCAGGAAGTGAATACTTTAAAATTCAACTCTAAAACATTAACACTACTCCCTGTTTAACACCGCATGCATTCTTGGAGTCATCATAGAGATTTATTCAGTGCTGTCAGTTCTTTGCGTGTTGTAAGGTAGCTGCTCCCTGTTGGCTAGCTCAAAGATTTTGTTAATCACAGAACTTGTCAGACACATAAGGAGCTTTAGTATCCCAATTTAAGCACCATTTCTGCTTTGCTCAATTTATCTTTATTGTATCTTTTTCTGTGGTCTTTTAACTTTCTCGCGTATTCTTTATCCATCACAAATTCTTTTTTTTTTTTACCTGTTTCACTGGAGCATTGATGTTGATGTACTACAGAGGCAGAGGAAAGAGAGAAATACCTCAGTGCTGCTGGCTGATGTGTTCCTTTGACACCTAATTAATTACAGGAGGGCTTTGTTAAAGTTGTCTCCTGTTACCTTTACTCCATGCCTACTCTCATTCTTTCTAGCTCATCTCCACTGCTACCCATTTTTCCATCATCCGGCTTTTTCATTGTTCTTTCACATTTGTTTGCTTCCATAGGTTGTTTTGGGACTTTGAGGAAGATAAGAAGGTCTGGCTACAAGCATCTAATTTATTAAAAGGGTCAAAGTGTCATTAGTTAAAAAGTTGTTAGCCGACAAGAAACGAATCCTCAGGTCAGATGAGAGACTTCGTATGGAAAAACACAAAAATAAGCCTAAACACAAAAAAGAGATGTCAAAATATGCACTGAAATGTGCAACTTTTTTTCTTTAGCTTTTTCAAACTACCACAATTTATTGTGAGTGACAAGCAGGCTTTGTTTGCTCACGAGGAAATGAGATACAAATAGTTAAAAAAAAAAATCACTGAAAAGGAAGATTTGGCTACAAAAACAAACCCAACAGCCTGTAGAGGTGAGTCAGTTTATTCATCAAACGCAAGCAGCAGCGAAGCCTTCCGCTATGCCCGACCGGCTGTCGGGACACCCTACATTTTTAGCTAAGATTTGTATTTGAGAAAACAGAATTAGGTTAGTCGTGAGCCAGTAGTTGTGAATGACCATCATTTAAGACCGTACTGTGAAACCTTCGTAACAGGATTTTGTTGACCTCAGCTTGTTGTTTAGAAACATAGTTTCTGTTGCATTTACGTGAGGTTTCAGCTCTAAATACATGTAACATGTATACTTCAGAATATCACAAATAAAAAAGTCACTTGTTTGTTATAAGTAATTACATAAGTAACTGTGATGATCATAAGAATAAAACTGTTTTAAACCTTGTGTGCCCCGAGCTCTGAAGCTAATGAACTGCCTCTCTGAACCACTCACACTTTTTGTTCTCTCTGTTTCATTATGGAGTCCATATTTAAGCTACTAAATACATACTGACCAAGAAGGCAAGGCATTGGCCATCGAGGACTGGATGAATATAAAAGCACATACTAAATTCTGTAATGACACTGAAGGAAATAAAACTGCAGTACTGACATGAAGGCTGCTATGGATGTGGCAGACTTCTTCCTTTGAGCTTCTGCTCCCTTACAATAAAAGGAGACAGTGGAGGTGTGGGCAGTGGGAACTTGGGATATAGCAGGAAAAAGTGGAAGACTTAGTGTGCTGCTGCGTGACCCAGCAGAAGCGTAGAACGGGTGGGCGGGTGAATAGATGACAGTGGGATGGGATTTGGTATGTGCTTACGGAGGAAAAAGTTGCTTAATCAGCACTTTCAAAGTTGGCTTGTTGGCTGGTTGTTTTTGACCACGCTGCTCCAGAGTTCCCTTTTTATTGTTGTTTTTTTTTTTTTCTTTTTTTTTTTCTTCTTAAATGACATCAGAAACAGCAGTATGCGACATTACGTGATGGCAGAGCTTCAGTTCATCCTTTGTCATTTTTTTTTTTTTTTTTTAAATAAATAGGACAGGGGGAATGAATGAGAGAAAGAGGGGAGAGAAAGAAAGAAAAAAAAAAAAAAAAAAAAGAACTCCTGGGTCACCTGTATGGAGAAAAAAAAAAAAACCAACAAAAAAAACAAACAGAGGAGACAGCAAACAACAAAGAGCAACATAATAATAGAGAAAACAAAGCACCATCACAATAAACTAGCTAGTCATAGATATCAATATTTACTAAATAATAAACGATATTGTGCAGCACGCAAGATAGACAGCGCACAGTGTGCTTTGAGCGCATGCATGTCTTAAAGCCAAGAAAGCTTTAGTCCGCGTCTGTGAATACCCATGTGTGCATACCTGTGTGGATCAGCATGCTTGCATTCCAAAGGTTTCTCCATGTAATGATCTGCTAGGGAGTGTGGGGGGGCCACAGCCCCGTCCTCCAGGGTGTGAAGCGGGTATGGAGGAGATCAAAACTCCAGACATCCAGAGGCCCCCAGAACAC